GGAGAGCTAGTGCTGTTGGAGGGAGGGGACTTAGGTTGGCATTGGGGGTGCGGTGTCACAGAGAAAGCAAGAAATGGGGGGACAGGGAGACTGGACACGAGAAAGGGCGACAGGCACAGCCAGAAAAGGAAGGCCTAGTGGAGAAAAGGGGATAGAAACAGCATGAAGCGCAGGGAGAGTCGAACCTGAGAAGGATGGACTGAAAAACTGATTTTTGAAAAGCAGAGTGGACGGTGAAAAAAGGAGATAAAAGGGGACTTAAAAACAGGAGATCATCTATGGCCTCCCCAATTCGTTTTCTGTCTAAAAGCTGAGTTCTGAGTAGGCACAACACCTGGCTCTTTAAAGGAATTTTTCAGCCTTATGGTGCTTGGCAGCTAGGAGGTTCAGGCATAGAGAGGGTGACACGCTCAGAGACACTTGCAGCCCAGCCTCCCTTCACTTCCCCAGGGGCCCCTCCGGTATCCAGGGCCAGCAGCTAGGGAGACCGAGGGAAGCCATTTCACCTGTTTGCCTTTTCCTGCAGTGGAAGTAGCTGAAGAAGCAGGAGATGGGACCAAGGGAAAGGGAGGGAATCTAGCCAGGCTCAACGCCCCGCCCTCCCTGGTTCTCAGGCTAAAGACAACTCTTCCAGATTGACCTGAAGGGGGGAGGGGTGAGGCCCCAGGGAGTTATAGTAAACTGGAGATTCCTTTCTCCCAACCCACACCCTCTCTCTGTTTCCTTTATCTCTGACCTGCCAGCTGTGTCCCACTGCCCCCCAGCTGGGCCTTGGCGCCAGGGCTTTGGGGGGGGGGTATCATGGCTAGGAGCCCCTGGCCCAGACATTCGGTCACCCTGGGGGAGGGGATCTGTCTCCCAGGCCATCAATTATGCAGAGCATGGGGGAAGGGCAGGGATGTGACAGGAGGGGTGGGTGTCTCCGTTAGTCACTCTGTCAACCATATTTACCAAATGCTTATTGTGCAAAACTCTGCTCCAGAATGGGTAAGGGGACATAGTGGTCCCTAAACTATACATCTTCCGGAGGAAGAGGCTCTTTGGAGTCCCTGGGAGGCCCCAATTCAGTTTCAGCTAGCTACCATATTTTCTATTTGCTGGTGGTTCCCTTCAGGAGGTGGTAGGGGTGGAGTTGGGGCATAGTGCCCGCCCCCAACCAGTTCCTCCTCCCAGGTTCTCCTGCTTGAGATGCTGGAGGCCTGTGGCAGGGCGAACTATTGAATCGTTTCTGGATCCCTCCTGTTCTAACAGCAGAACCTCAATGCCATGCTGCTCGTCTGGCTGTCTTGGGGGCTCAGTTGAGAGGCCATCTGTCTAAATCTTAGGCTCTCATACTGAGGCACTCGCCACTGTCTTGGCTCTTATTTTGCACTAAGGAAAAGGAGGACAATTCCCTTTCTCTCTTGAGTGGGGGGTGGAAGGGACATCTTCACAGGGAAAGGAGACCCAAGACTGTGGAATGCTAGTTCCACCTCTGCAGGCTTTGAGATCCTGAGAGGATAAAGGACTCTGACCCTTCATGGCCAAGGCTCCAGGCAACTTGGCTGCAGCTTGTTTTTGTTTGGCTTCTTACAGGATCCATGGCCCTGGCTCCAGGGTTATTCTCAGAAGGGAAGAACTACGGCTTTTCTATTGTGCCCTCATCATGGGGAGATGCCTTCCCTGAGAACCTGGGGAAAACTGAGTTCGCCCCTACTTACAGGCCCCCAGCCTCAGACAGATCCACCCCTGAGACTCCCTAGCTGCCACTGTCTCCTCTTCCAGTAAGGTGAGCAATGATGGGGATGGGAGAGAGGGTGCAGTACTGCTTAGGAATAAAGACTCAGCTTTGGATTTGGAGGGATCAGAACTAGAACCTCAGTTTTGGCATGAGTTAGTTCGAGGAATGTCACCTTTCTGAGACTCCCCACCCTACCTTATGGGGTGGTGAGGGTTAATTAAGATGATGTGGGGAATGCCGTGAACAAGTGCTGGGCTCCTGGCTTTGTCTTTCTGGTTGGCTGGACACCAGGTCTCTCTCTGTGGGTTCTGGAGGGGTCTGTCTCTTCTGTCTGACCAGAAGGGAGACTTGGTCTTTGATCTTCTACTTCTCCAGGACAAGTCTCGATTTCAGGTCCCAGGGGAACCAGGTCACACTGGCAGTCGTGTGCTAGAGGTACCCCCACCCCCAGTCTTTCCTCTGCAATTCTTACATGCCACCTCCTCCGGACTGAGAGGGAGTGCCTAGTTCTCTGTACCGGACCCTCACCCCCTGGCCATCACGGCCCAGGATCACCCCTCAGCCCTACCCACTGAGGTCTGAGGGGAAGGGGAGGAACAAGGTATGATGGGCCCCAGGGGTCCCTCCTACTCTCGACCTGGAAGAAGTATTTTAACAAATCATTCCTGAGCTTGATGTGCCTTTAGAAAAAGCAGTTTCTAAGTAGGTGGAATTGTGGGTATTTTTATTAAGAAATTAAAAATCTATTTTAAATTGAGAAAGAGGAAATGAAAATTACAGACTGCCTATCTATTTGTGTCAGCCAGCCTTGGACAGTGAGCTGCAGAGGTAGGGTGGAAAGCCTGAGAAGCAGAGAGGTTGGCTGAGGTCCTGTCTCTGCTCCTGGCAGGTTGGGCAGCCTGGAGTCCGAGGCTTCTTAACAGACCTCAGTTTCTTCATCTCTATGTGGGGACAGTGGTACCTAATTCACATGGGGTAATGTACTAGGCAACATGGGTAAGAACACAGGCTCTGGATCAGACAGACCTGAGTTCAGATCCTAAGCTCTTGCCATATTCCTTTTTAATTTTGAACAGATTACTTAACTTCTTTAAGTTTCAGTCTTCTCATCCCTAAAATAGACATGCTGATAACACTACCTCTCAGCATTGTTATGAGCAGTATTGAGATGATCCAAATAAAGTTCCTGGCCTAGTACCTGGTGCACAGGAAGCAGCCGATAAACATTAGCATGTGGAAAGCGCCTAACAATCAGTAGTGGGTTTTTAATAAACTTGTGTCCCTTCCCTTCTTTCCCTTGTCTGCCTCTGCAGAGCAAGAGGCAGCAGCGATGGTACAGGTGGAAAGGGATATGGACAAACACAAGGGATAAAAAGGACAGTGAAGAAGGAAAGAACCAAAGGAAAAGGGCTCTTTATCCTGGATGATCCTCAGTCTCCCCTGGAATAGTGCCCCTGCCATCTTATCACCTTCCCCCAACACACAGATGCCCCTCATTCTGGGAGCAAATGAAGCAGGCAGACCAGTGTCTGTGGCCAGCCCATCATGAAGCTCCTGTGTCCTCTGCTGGCATCTCCACACTATCCTCTTTCTGCCCCGGCAGGGACTCCTGAGGGGATTGAGTACCTAACTCCCTCTTTCTCCCAGCCCAGCAGGGCGAGGTAGGACTGCACACGATCAGCCACTGGGCAAGTCCAGGGTGGTGGGTACTAGAATTTAGCCAGACTAGCACATTATCACCTCCGGGAGAAGGACGGGGAAACAGCAGTCAGTTTTCACAGGGGTTCTGCCATCCTCAGCGGTGAGGACACCCGGGAAGTCCTAAGCCACTTCCTTACTTAAACTTCTTGCCTTCTCTGCCCTTAACTGTGTTTAATTAGGGGATGAATATTTAGTTGTCCGTTTTCATGTGTGTTGGAGTTGGGGTATCACACCATTGGTCTTCCCAGCATCACCTCAGTCCCTACAGTGAGTGAGTGGACGAGTGACAGGCTGGAAAGGGCAGAGCTTTTTTCCATCCTTAGGTGTGAGATAGGAGAGAGCAGGCCCTAAAGCTCAGAGGAACTTCAGTGTCAGGATAGTTTCGAAGACCCAGGGCGTACTTGGGCCTTTTCCGTCCTGAATCCCTCCTTCTTGCCTTTCCTTGGTATGGCCCTCTGGCTGAAAATCAGAGCTCTCAGAGCCACGGAGTCCATCCTGTGAGTTGGAAGGGAAGTGGTGTTTAGAGGGAGGCACTGTGGCTTGAGAGGATTCTGGGTGGGGGGAGAGACTTCACATCCACTCTGTCCTGGTCCAGGGCCACTCTCCCACTCTCTTCCCAAGAGGGAGCAGGTAACAGACCTCAAAGGTGGGACTCCTCCTCCAATTCTAAGGAACACCCCACTATTTCCTTCCACTGTCTATAGAGCCTCTGACCCCTTCTCTTCCCTCCTCTCAGCGAAAGGGCCGTGGTTATCAGGAGTTTTAACTTTGTGGAAAGGATTCCTGCTTATTTGTAAGCCAAGGAGTTTGAGGAGTGTGGAGGGAAAAGGAAGGAGGTTCATGAAAGCCCTGGGCTGGGGAAATGGGTTAGGGGAGCCAGAGGAGATGGAGAGATGGAGGAGGGAAAGAGCCACATATAAATGGGGGAGGGGAGGATGACCATCACCTGGGCATCCAGGAACAGGTGCTCGCTTCCTATAATCCTCAGGTGCAGCCCGCTAAGTGGGGGGGTGGGGTGAGGTGACGGGATGCTGGACACATGAGGCCTTGTCCTTCCTTTCCTTCCCTGAGGGGGCCAAAACTCTTCCTCCTCCTCCCCTCTCCCTCTTCTTGAGGGTGAGTGGGAGGAGATGTTCTCTTGCCCGCTGTCCTTTAAGTCTGTCCCCCAGTCATCCCCCCACCCCACCCCATACACTCCTTTCCAGCTCTGGAGGCCCTTCGCCTCCAAGCTGGGCCGCGGCGTCCCTCTGCTTGGTTCCCCTCCTTCCCATCCCCACAGGCGTCGGGTCCAGGTTCCCAGTTCCTCCATCCCCAGTCTCAGCATCCCCGCGCCACCCTCCCCACACCCAGCCACATCTGCATCCCGACCCTCCCTCCGCACCCGATCTCGGGACCCGGACCCATCCCTGCCCCCCACCCTCCACAACTCGGCCCGGCTCTCACCTCGGGGGCTCCACGGCCGCAGCACAAAAGGCGGCGCTGCTGCAGCTCGGCTCCGGATGCTGCTCCCGCCTCCTCCTCCTTCTCCTCCTCCTTCCCTCCTCCCCCTGCTGCCCTCGACCGGACCAGGGGCGCTGTCACAGGCGATGCTCGTGCGGTGTCCGGGTGCACGGGTGTCAGTCCCAGCTTTCTCCCCCCACCCCCCGACCCCAAGCCCCGTCCCCACGCGGCTTGAACTCCCGCTCCTTCCAAGGCCCCCGCCCCGGGCCCCCCGGGACGGACACGCCCTGAGCGGGGGATGCTGCGCTGGAGCCGCCGGCCTCTTAAAGGAGCCTGCTGCTGCCATCCAGCGCGCTCCTGGCTCGTCCCTGGCCCATCTGGGCCCCGCACCTCCCAGCTGGTGGTGTGACCTGGGGCGATCCCACCTCCGATCTTCGGCCGATTCCGTAGGAGCCTCCTAAGACCGGTTTTTTAAGCTCCATCCTATATCCTGAGACAGCAGCCCCTCAGGTGGGACCCCCTCACCTCCACCAGCGATCTATCATTGCCTCCCCTGTCATATCGATCTTGCCAGCCTTCTTTCCCCTGTCACCAGTCCAGTTCCACTCAATTGGAATCCACTCAGTTCAGTGCCCCGTCCCCCTCCAGTGTTCCTGGATGACCCTTCGTTATTATTCCAAGATTCCTCTGAATCTCCACCCCTTTTCACAGCAAGTCCATCTCTTCCTTGACCCATACTCAGAACACTCATTAGAGTCAGGCATTTTTCGTGATCTTTCTCTTCAAGGTCACAAGATTCTCCCTACATATTTCAGCCCAGTGGCTGTGAAACTTTGGCGGAGGGAATGCAGCTCTGGGCCCCCAAACGCACCCAGATTAGTTCATTAGTCTTAAGAGGCCAGACGCCTCTTGCTCTCTAGTTGAGAGACCCAAGACCCATGGCAGAGGGAATGAGGCCACCTTGTGCCTTAGTCCTTCTAATCCTGTTGTTCCATTACATTCTGATTCTCAGGCCCCAGAGGGGGTCTCCTGGCATAGGGAACCAGTACAGAAAGTTTCAGTAGGACCATTCTAAAAAGGCTTTAGAAAAGAAGCAGAAACAGACAGGCTGGAGGCAGAATTAAGGGGAGGGAGGGAAGGTGAAGGACAGCTTAGGAAAAGAAAGCAGTTTCTGTGAAACGAAGGCCCGAGAGCCAGGGGCTTAGGCCGAAGGCTGAGGAGGAACTGAGACTGAGATGGACTTGAACTTACAACTGCCCCAGCGCTCTGAGAGGCAGAGCTCAGTCCCCTCTCGCGTCTAGGCCGGGCCCACCCTCCCAGACTGCAATGAGCCAGAAACTGACAGCTGCCTCGTCCCTGGGCCAATCACAACCTTTTCTCAAGAAAGAGGCGGTGTCAAGGGGGCTGACTCTTCCCTTGTCCCCGCCCCTCTAGGTGAAGTAACCAATCGCAATCCCCCTAGAGCAAGCAAGTGCAATGGAGAATAACCAATTACGCAGCGAAGCTTTTCGTGCATGCTTGACCCTGCCCCTCCAGCTGCGACAAAGACGGCTCGCGAGCTGCTGGGTTCTGTAGTTTTCTCGGGATCTGAAGGCGCTCATGCTCCAGTTCGCCCTCACTACCCCGCTCCCAGCCGCTTCCACTCTGCTAGTACGCATGCCCAGAGCCCCAGCCTAAGGGAGAGGGACACAGAGGGAAGGAGGCGGGGCGATATTAAAAAAAAAACAAAAACGAAAACAAAAAACCGCCCTCAGCTCGGGAAGCGACAGTGGAGGGGTCCGCTCCTCCCAGAAGGCGGTGCTGCATGCCAGGGCGAACCACGCGGAGGGTTGTGGGGCGGATAGCTCCCCTCCTGATGGAGACCCATGGAGTCAGGTGGGCGGGGGACTTCATATCCCAGCATGCCCCGCGGCGGGCCCGACCGGCCGCGACTCGGGGCTTGGCCCCGGCCCTAGCTCGTCGGCGGTGTATTGGGGCGCGTGGAGGCTGCAGTCACGGTGGCGCCCGCGGGGACGGAGGAGGGAATGAGTGAAGAGGAGCAGGGCTCCGGCACTACCACGGGCTGCGGGCTGCCCAGGTAAGCCGCCTCGTACTGATCCCTGCAGGGCGCAGAGCGTGGCGCGGTGCGGAGGGAGTAGCGGCGCGGCCCCAGCATGCACCTGGCCTGAGGGTTGTTCCCGGCAAGCACTGGGGTAGTGGGCCGTGGTTCCCGGCATGCACCCCGGCAGTGGCCCCTGCCTCCAGCTTTAGATAGTTTGGGGTTGGCCGGGTTCCCAGACCGCACTGGGGCACTGGGCTTTAAGCCCCCGACATTCAGTGCATTTGGTGGGTACTGGGTTCCTGGCCTGCACTGTGTCAGGGGACATGCGCTTCCAACCTGCACTGGGGTACAGGATCCCCCATCTTAACTGAGAGAGGAACAGTGCATTCCCCACTTGCCCAGGGGCAGTGGACCCTGCTTTCCCAGCCTGCACCTCTACTCTACATTGAACCCAGGCAATGGCTGCTTGAGGTCCCCTGGACCCTATGTCCCCCATAGTGTGCCTGGGTCTGATATGGCAGTGCTTGGCCAGGTGGGTGCAGAGAGGGGAGGTGTGATGAGGGTCTATGCACCTCCCCCCAGTATAGAGCAAATGCTGGCAGCCAACCCGGGCAAGACCCCGATCAGCCTTCTGCAGGAGTATGGGACCAGAATAGGGAAGACGCCCGTGTACGACCTTCTCAAAGCCGAGGGCCAAGCCCACCAGCCTAATTTCACCTTCCGGGTCACCGTTGGCGACACCAGCTGCACTGGTGAGGAAGGCATGGGCAGCCTGGCTGGGGTGTGCGTTCACAGGGCCCCTTTGGCTTTATTACTTGGAGTCTCTTCACAGTCCTTTTCTCCATGACCAGTGAGGGAAGGAGAGATTTCAGGGGGAAAATCACTGACTGGATTGGGAGAACAGGTCTGTGAGGAGGTGGGTAGGATTTGGGAAAGTTAGAGGAGCAAGTAGGACAGCCACAGTGATCCGGCAGATCATCCTCCTAGAGGAAAAATTAAGAGGAGATAAACCAGAATCTCAGTGAAGTATTTGGGGGAGCGAGTACCTGCTGCACTGGGCTCTGTTCCAGGTACTTGACTAAATTCCCACTTAACCTTAAACCTTGGTGTAATCCAGTGTTGTAGGTGGTAGTATCCTCATGTTGAATATGAGGAAACTGAGGCTCAGAGAGATTTGATAACTGGTGCAGAGTCACGTGTCTAGTAGGTGGCGGAGCCAGGCTTTGACTGTAGAGCCTGTATTCTGTCTATCTTTCCAGCCATCTGTATTTATTGAGAACAGAGAAAGTGCTTCCCAGAGGAAAGTAAGGCAGAGAAAGAACATCCAGACAGGGTGACCTCAGGAGCAGTTCTGCCTGCATGGCTTAATTTGGGGAGCTCGTAGAAAGATAAGGGCCCTTCCTTCTAGCAGTTAGTGTAATACTTCCACTCTTGGGCAGGGGAGGTTGGTGAGAGGGGCCTTCGTTGACTCCCTCCAGCTGTGAGGAGAGAGGCTGTGGGATGCTGGTTTCTCTTCCGTCCTTCCAGTGACCTCCAGTATTGCCCACACCCCCTCTCTCAGGTCAGGGCCCCAGCAAGAAGGCAGCCAAGCACAAGGCAGCTGAGGTGGCCCTCAAATACCTCAAAGGGGGGAGCATGCTGGAGCCGGCCCTGGAGGACAGCAGGTGAGGGAGGATCAGCCGAGGCATCCTAGTGGCTCTGCCAGGAACCCAGGCCCCTGTCCTAGCCCTTCTGCCCAGTAGGCTTGGCCTGGTGACACTGAACCACTTTGACTTGACCTCTTCCTGAGAGCTTCCTCTGGACCCGAGCAGGATGCTTCCAGGGCTCCTGCTACTGTGAAGGATTCTGGGGTGGGGCGGGGAATGACCAGTCCCAGTGAGGGGTTGTGATTGTGGTTTGGGGCCCAGGTTGGAGCCTTGGGAGGGAGAAGGGTGGAGGCTGAAGCTGGAGGGAGTTGCCCCCGGACATACTTCCTCTCTCCAGCAAGACGTCGTTCCTTCTTCCACACTGAGGTTGGAGTTTGTTGCTCCCATGGTTCTTGGGTAGGAAGAGACCCTCCTCCCCCTTTTCTCAGTCTTCTTGATCTAGTGTTTGGCAGCAAAGGATCTCAGGAGGAAGAGCTGGTGGTTGAGCTTCCTTGAACTTTTGGCTCGAGTGGGAAGGGATTTTCTTAGGGGATGAGCAAGTCAGGTGGACCAGGGCCCCCCACCCTCTATCCCCCACCCCTGCCCAACATGGGTGTGAATCAAAGGCCCCTTCCCTCGGGAAGTTCTTTTTCTCCCCTAGACTCTTCACTGCCTGAGGACGTGCCAGTTTTTACTGCTGCATCGGCTGCTACTCCTGTTCCATCTGCTGTCCCAACCAGGTATCTTGTGTCTCCTGACTGCCTGAGGGTGGGGGAAGGGGTCCTGACTCCTGGCCCCCCAGCCCGTGGCCCTAGGCTGGTCAGGCATGAGGAAGCCTGAGAGTAAACAGGATGGAATAGTTGGGGAACAGAGTTTGAAGAATTTGCACCAGCTGGTAAGCTCTTGGGACAGGAGGTAATTTATCATTTTTAAATAGCCATATGGATGATATTTGACCATGATAAGGGTCTTGCAGGCCCCAGTTTCTTCTGAGTTGGCCACAGGATGGTCCTGTGTTTGAGTCCCAACAGGTGCTTCCAGGGACTGGATATACAGCCCCTCCCACTGTCCTGGCGAGGTGATAATCAAGTGTTCCAGAAAACTGAAATGGGCCTCGGCCCTGGAGGAGACCTGGCTTGCTTGGGTGGGAGGGGGAAGGAAGTGGTCTTGATATTTGGAGAGAGAGCTGCCTGCCTGGTGGGAAGTAGGGTGATGGCAGTAGGGGAAACTAGAGCAGGGCTTGGGACTCATGGGCAGCTGCAGGAGGAACCAGTCCCCTCAGTTTTGGCCCTGGGCCCTTTTTCCTTCAGGAGCCCCCCCATGGAGGTGCAGCCGCCCGTCTCCCCTCAGCAGTCTGAGTGCAACCCCGTTGGCGCTCTGCAGGTGTGCCCCCCAACCTCATTTCCCATGCATGCCTGTCTTCGCTTCAACCAGGGTTCATGAGGGAGCTGATGTGGGGCGGTTTCCCTGTTCTGAGGGCTTTTCCCACCCCCACCCCCCTTTATTCCTCCTCTGACCTGGAATCTGAGGCTCCCAGTGTGGGGAGAGGATGTGAGGACTCTTCTCTCACTCAGTCTTGCACACCCTCGTTTCTCCCTTCCAAGGAGCTGGTGGTGCAGAAAGGCTGGCGGCTGCCTGAGTACACGGTGACCCAGGAGTCTGGGCCAGCCCACCGCAAAGAGTTTACCATGACCTGCCGAGTGGAGCGTTTCATCGAAATTGGTAACTGGGCGGAGAGGAGTTCTTGTAACTACAGCCCCAGCCACAGGCAGCTCCCAGCCTCTCCCTGTTCTCCTGGCTGAGACCCCTGGCTTGGTGTCTTCCTGGCACCCTATCCTGTCCCCTTCTTTTGACCAACTAGGTTCTCGGGTGCATGGCAGGTCCTGAACTCCTCTTTTTGATTGACATCCCTTTTGGGGACCACCAGCCCGAGTTAGAGCTGGGTGGAAAGCACTGGGTTGCTGGGTGTCATAATTCAGCAACCCTCTTCCCACATGCAGGCAGCGGCACTTCCAAAAAGCTGGCAAAACGTAATGCAGCAGCCAAAATGCTGCTTCGAGTGCACACGGTGCCTCTGGATGCCCGGGATGGGAATGAGGCAGAGCCTGATGACGATCACTTCTCCATTGTGAGTGGCTTCATGGGCCGGACATCATGGTCCATCTTTCATGCCAGGGCAGGGGACTGGGGACTCAGGTCTCTGACTCAAATGTGAGCCTCTTGGTCCCAGGCGTGCTTCTGCCCATTTTCCTACCAGACCCAGGATTCCTTGGGCTTCAGCTGTAGGCCTGCCTGATGAGTGCTGTGCAGGAGCTGGCTTAGGGCAGGGGCCCTGTAGGCTTCTGCTACTGTAATGAGGAAGGCTGCCTGGCCATCTGGTCCATAGTCTAGTAGTTTGAGGGGGCCATACAGGGGTTGACTCAGGGGAGGCAAATGGGAGGAAGCATTATTTGGGCTTTTCTCTCCTTAGATGTTGAATGTCTGTTAAATGCCTGGGTCTCAGACATTCCCCATCTTGTCAGGGTGTGGGCTCCCGTCTGGATGGACTTCGGAACCGGGGCCCAGGCTGCACCTGGGATTCTCTGCGAAATTCGGTGGGGGAGAAGATCCTGTCCCTCCGCAGCTGCTCCCTGGGCTCCTTGGGTGCCCTGGGCCCTGCCTGCTGCAGTGTCCTCAGTGAGCTCTCTGAGGAGCAGGCCTTCCATGTCAGCTACCTGGATATTGGTATGGCTAGTTGGGGGCCTCAGGGATGGTGGGGCCTGGACCAGCGCAAGTACGGGTGGGTATAATGGTTCGGGAGGGCATGACAATGACATGGACGTACCCCTCCTAGTACTGCCTGCCTGCCCAACACTGCCTCCCTCTTCTCTCTTGGTCTCCAGAGGAGTTGAGCCTGAGTGGGCTCTGCCAGTGCCTGGTGGAGCTGTCCACACAGCCGGCCACCGTATGTCATGGCTCTGCAACCACCAGGGAGGCAGCCCGTGGCGAGGCTGCGCGCCGTGCCCTGCAGTACCTCAAGATCATGGCGGGCAGCAAGTAAAGCCCCGGCTGGACTCATGGACATACATTCTTTGCTCCTGATCTTCCCGCCCCGGCCCAGGCATCTGCCGAGCTCTGGCACCCCCTGGAGGTGCCATCTCTACCTCTGACACAGACTGCCTGCCTGCGGCTGAGGAGGGCACAGGGCCAGGAGCCAGGGACCACAGGGCCTCAGCTGGCCCAGGTTCTGTCCTCATGTTACTGGTAATGACAAAGGGGAATGAAATCAGGCGGCTCTCCAATAAGAGCCCCAAATAAACGTGCTGCTTTTTGGATTCTTAAGCCCTGCTCTGTTTCCCTGAGTAGTTGGTAGCAGAGGAAATGAGCACCAGATCACCTCTCCTGGTGTGTCTCCCAGCTTCGTTCCCCACAGGCCCCCAGGTTTGCCTTTCTGGTGGCAGGAAGTTGGGTGCACTGATCTCTGGGATCCATTACCTGTGTTCCTGGAGAGTTTGGTTTGGTAGAGGTGGAGGGGGCTGTGGCTCTTGTCTTGGGACTCCCTCCCAGCCCTTTTAAGTCCCATACAGACACAACAGACCCACACACTGATTCAGAAGCCAGACAGCTTTATTTGAGGGGATACACGGGCACTTTTGAGTGTGGGCCTTGCATGCAAACATCAAAGGATGACATGTTTGTTACTTCTTTCCAAAGCGCTGCGGGGCAGCCAGGCTCCAGAATGAGGAGCTCAGCCCGTCCGCAGCTCGGGGACTCAGCCGTTTGTTGCTCCAGAAGCCCCAGGTGTTTCTGCCAAACCTTAGGAGAGATCCATCCTCAGCTGTAGGTCCTTGCAGTCCCCGCCTTCCCTAGTCCTATCCCGTTCCTCTCCCTTTGGTCCTTGCCTTGCCCGTGGCCTCTCAGACTCACCTTTGAGGTTGAAACAGGAAGGCTGGACTCCGGCTGGTTCTCTGCATGGCCTGGAGCAGGGACTGCAAGAGTGACCCAGGGATCTGGGCATCCTGTAATGGGCGGGCTCCACTATCTTCCTCCTGTGGTACGGGAGGCACCCGGGAAGGAAGATGGGCAAAGGCCTTGGGCATTTAGGTCACAAGGGGAAGGGTGTGGCTTCCAGGGGCAAGTTGTAGGAGGCTGAAGAGCCATTTACTCAGCTGTGAGGACCCAGTGACCCTGGCAACCATGGAGAATCTCAACCTAGAGTACAAGTCTCAGGCTGAGGTAAAGGATTATGGTGACAAGGGAGAGGGGGCCGGTGCTCACTTACCGTGAAGATCTGGTGTCCTCCATCCGGGCCCCCTGGTCCTTCAGCGTGGCCCCAGTCCGTTACTAACAGCAGTACCACCAGCAGCACTGCTGCCCGCGTGAAGTCCATACTGCCAGCTGCCTTCCTGTGGCCACAGCCGCCTCTTATACCTGCTGCTCCTCTGTTCCTCACCCCCCCACAGCAGCCTGAGGGGGGATCTAGAGCTGGCAGTGGAAATGCACTGCTCTGTTAGGAGCCGCCTGAGACCCCCCCCGCCCCCACCCCCGGGACTTCCTGCTCTCAGCCTCCGGTCCCAGCCCCTAAGCCTGGAGTTACAGACTTTATTAGATGCATAAATCCTGTCTCCAGAGCTCAAGAAGCATCATTAATTGCAGACGCTTTGTCAAAGCCAGGCCCTGGAGGGCCTTCAAGAACTCCCAATCCCTCAACAGGTTGGAGAGCTCTAATCGATCACCTCCTCTCTTTCCTAACTTGTAGAATGAAAGCATAAAGTCCTGTCAGGCTAGACATCATGTCCTGGGAAGGAAAGGGAAAAGCCAGGGTCAGAGTTGGTCCGGAAGCCCCAACCCGGGCCCTCCCCACCGAGGCTGCAGTCAGGGCCAACCAGCCCATTCACATCCATGCGTACCTGCCTCTTGGAGGGTTAAAAATGGAATCACTGCTCTGAGATTTGCCTGTGGATAAAAAAGTGAGCTACAGAAAGAGATTAAACGGTTTTGGAGCCCCCAGAAAGTGGAGACCGCTTCAAATGTTTGTAGACAGACCCCACGTTCATCAGCGCCGCGTGGGGCCTGCCTCCCTTCGGCCGACGGGGCCGCCCTTGGCTGCCGCGGCGCTGCTGCCACCCTGTGGTCACGGCTCTGCACTGTCAGGCCTGGCCGTTTCCTTCTGGAACAGAGCTCTTTGAAGGGTAGGGTGGATAGAAGTTCTGACTCCACAGAGTCCCAGAAAGGCAGGGGCAGGATACTGGGGCTGGACTAGCATTTTGTCCACCTCCTTCTAGTCAGTCCAGCCTCTGCCCGGCTCTCGCTCTGACTTACTGGGACAGGTGCCTAGAATCCCGCCTTAGGAAAAATCAGTCACTGCCTCCCAGGAAGCGTTCCTTCAGAGTCATCTGGTGCACCTTCCCTTCTGATCCTGGAGTCCCTCCCTCAGCACCCTCACCAACATGGTTCTCTAGCCTGTGGTGGGGAGGGACCACGACACAACGGGCCTGTGAGTCAGCCTTGGGCAAGGTGCTCAGGTCTCTAAACTGCAGTTTCTTCACCTAATACATGGCAACATTGAAGGGAACTCAGAACAGGATCTGACACAGCGCAAATGCCCTCACAGTGTCGGCTATTATCCTTGCACATCCGAGTCCCAGGGAACTTACCGCCTCCTGAGATGGTCTTCAGATTCATCTTTGCACTGAGCTGGCTTTCACCTCCCTGTGGTCTCCACCAGGGGTCCCAGTTTACCCTCCTCTCACAGAACATCTCTCCTCTTTCATGCCTTTCACATGTTTGAAGACAGATTTCATTCTCTCACTCTAGAGTCTTTTTTTGTTCAAAGGGATGCATCCCTCCCTTCTTTAAAGCAAGGCATCTGGAAACCAGCTAATACTCTGGGTAGGCAACTTAGAGCAGGTTTTGATCTGGACGGTCTAGATACTCATTTCTATCAATGCAGCTGAAGTTACAGCGAACCTTTCTGTAAACTTTGTCTCAGATGGTCCCAAGCACAGAACCCAGCATCCATCGTCATTATATCTTGTAGCTTCAACGCTTCTTAAAAGGGAGTGTAGCAAGTCCACGTGTAGATGGTTCTTCTGCAGGAAATGGATTCTGCACCACGTCGAGGTCCTTGTCCATCCTTGTCTGACAGGAGCTCGGAGGAGCGGAGTGTGAGGCTGGGGTGTGGGGCTGCACAGTGGCTCTGGGGTCAGGACTGCTAATCCCAGCTCTTGCACTTCACCGTGTGCCTTGGGCAAGTGTCTCAACTAAACCTCAGTTCATCATCAATAAAATGAAGCAACTACTCCTGTTACCGAGAGGTTTTGTGAACAGTAAACGACTTGTTGAATGCAAAAGTTCTAGTCCACCTAGCACAGAGCAGGCACACAATAAATGTTTACTCTCTTATTTCTCCAAACACCAGTTACAAGTGGATCTGAGCTGAGGCTGCATTCAGAAAGGGGCTGGTCTAGCTGCTGCTTGTGTCCAGGATGGAGGTGACTGGTCTCTCCTTTTGTTAGAAGTTGGAATGGGTTAATTCTTCTTCTTGCCTTCAGAGTCTCACCCCCACCTCCAAATCCTCTCAATCTTGGCTTTGGTATTTGGCTTTCAGCAACTTCTTTTACCACTTTCTGGACTCTCATGTGATCCTGACCACAACACAATGACTACTACCACTGCCTTTCCCACTCCCCTAGAGGAGCTCCCTATTTGTGTCAGTTGTACCACATACCAGCCGCAGACAGCATCTGAATCACCTCTCTCCTACTGGAAAGCCCTCAGAGGCCCCTGGCTAGCTCCTGGTCAAGTTCTTCGGCCTGGCTCTCTCTCCTACTGGGGGTATCAAGGAATACACAGATGCAGGAAGTTAGCAGTGAGTGCCCTACACCTCCCCCCGGTTCCTGAGCACTACCTGTTTTTCTTGTGAACTGTCTTACCTGCTTTTAAATAAACGCCACCCCTCATTTCCAGACCCACCTCCTCCCCATAGCCATAAAACTCAGGAACCATGCAGTGTTTCTCCTTCTGTCTATGTCTGTGTGCACTCCCCAGACATGCTGGGAACTTCTTGAGGATAGGGCTTACTAGTTTTTCATCGTTGGGAGGGGGGTGGGGACATAACACTGAAAGGTAAGAGGCCACTTACCTTCAGATACCCTCTGACCACCATCCACACAAAGCATACAGGTCCTCTAGTGAGGGCTCCTGTGATGCCCAGGGCAGTGCACAGACCCGAGCCTTCTGCTGTGTTATGTAATTTTATAAACCACCCACCTTCTCAAGGCTGTGTCTTCCCTGCATTAAAATGGAGGGATAAGGATGCCAGCTCCTTCTGTCCTAAGAAATGGGAGAGTGAAGATCTCAGACATGAAAACCCAATGAGTTTCCAGAGAGAGTGGTCAGGTCAGTGGGGCTTGTAGATCAGAGCATTAAAGCATCAGACAGAACAGTGGTTCTCTTGATAGTTTAATGTTATATTTGCAGCATAAATAAGGCACAATATATGTCAGGGCAAGGGAGAGAGGGAGAAGGCATGGCTGAGGGGGTAACTGCTATGTGGCAAGGGGAAGGAGGAGGGACGGTCAGGGAGAATAGAGCGAAGCCTCTGCCTCAGCCCCGTCCCGGGAGACTGTGAGAGCCTGCTCACAGGGATCATGCTGACGTGGGTGGAGGGGAGAGGGAGAAAGTTCTGTAACAAAAAAGCCTGTAGCACTGCATCCTCCCACCTGTCAAAGTCCACTACTGGGGGCTGGGGAAACCCAGACCCAGAGTCAAGCTCCTTGATGAGACAGAGAGGTGTTGCTACATGTCAAAGATACACAGATGAACAGAGATATAACCATAGATACACACAGCTTTCTTTTTAACAGATACTATGTCAGGTGGCTGTAGCCCCCACTGTTGGGGCTGGAGGCTCATCTCCCTGCCTGAAAGGTGTGTGTAGTGGGTGGTGGTGGGAGAACAGGACAGCTGGTCCTTCCTGCCACAAAGAACATGGCGTGACCAGTCTGCAAGGGAATATGGGACAACTCCTGTCCGGACCCATGCAGGACAGGTTTTAGGGGTAAGTGAAAGGAAGACAAACCTAGATTTTGAGATGAGTGATGTTTTAATGGGAGTAGAGGGAGGGACTAGAGGAAATGGAAAAATACATGTTAGTGCTAAGGCAGAGGATGGTACTTAAAATATCTTTGACACCCTGTAAGAATCTCCCAGCTTGCCCCTAAGGCAATGGTTCTCAAACTTTAGTGTGCATTAGAATCACTCTGAGTGCTTGTCAGAGCCCATCCCAGAGTTTCTGAGTCAGTATGTCTGGAGTGGGGCCTGAATGTGCATTTGTAACAAGTTTCCAGATGATGGTCCTGCTGGTCCTGGACCACCTTCTGAGAACCACTGCCCTAAGGGAAAGTCAATGAAACTAGTGCTCATAGCCATTTCTTACAGCTAAAACATCACTCACCAGTAGTTAATGCTGATGAGAGATCTCTGTGCTACCAGCTCCCAATAAAAAGATAAAATTACCCACACCAGCTACAATACAAACCTGCATCTACAAAGGACATAAGCTGTCTTAAGCTGCCCTACTCTCCCCAGCCTTTTCTCATTCTGGGGAAGAACTTTACCCCAAAGAGAGACAAGTGAACTGGTATGGAGGGTGGGAATGTTGGCCAGCAACCACCTCTGCTCAGTCCTGCTGGGTCACCACCCTGGGGTGGTGGGGATTTATGTCCGTGTGCACATGCATGTGTGCAAACGGAAACAGAGAAATCAGTTCTATACTTTGAGGGGGATGATTAGGGTTGTGGGAGGGTGAAGTAGGATGGGGGGGTCCTCTAATCTGCCTTAGGATCCCCACCTGTCCTACTCTTCCCTCCACCCCTGTCAAAAAAAGTCAAAAGAAAGCAGAAAGAGCATATCAACAAAGGCATATGTGATATATAGCTAGCAGGACTGGATTCTAAACAGACTGGTTATGACATTAAAAAAAAAGAATACATTTCCTTCCTGTGTATACAATGTACAATATTAATGAAAAATAATGATTTGGGGTTGGGAAGGGAGTTATGAACAAAAAAGGAACTTTGTGGGGAAGAGCTGTCTTAGGGCTAGCACCTTAAAAGGAGCCTCTCAGTGTGGGTGAACAGCGGGGTCTCAGAAACCAGAGAAGGGGTGTTTTGGTGTGTGCTTGGTGGTTCGGGCTGTAGATGGGGCGTGGTTATGGTTGAGCACCTTGTCTACCGGGATAGGTGGTGCTGGAGGGCAGTGAATCAGGAAAGGAACCAGGAACAACAGAACAGGCACAGGGAAGGCAGCAAAATGAGGTTCAGGTAGGCCATCTCCTCTTTTACTGCACTGAAAGTACATGGTCTAGGGCTTAGGGCCAAGGAGGGGAGCAGAGGCCAAAGGAAGCAAGATTTGGGATGTACAACCAATAGGGAAAGATGAAGTAAAGGAGGTTCTACTCTTTCTAGTCCTTCCTAATAGTGTGGGAGGCTTTCTCAGACTTTTTAACTCCAAGCAAGCTTTCTTTTAAGACAATGGGGCATAAAGTCTGCAGACCAGAAGGCCTGGTTCTGGCCCCTTCCTCTATGGCCTTGGGTCTCCAGCAGCTGTGTCCTTGAAGTAAAGTGGGAGATCTGAGTCCTGTGTTCACTCAGAAGAGTCCCAAGGCACCCACACTCCCAGCCCCTTTCAGAGTGTGTCTTTCCCCTAGAAAGGCCATGGTCCTTAAGAAGGGCTCAGTGACACCCTCCATGGTGTTTGGTGCTGGTCCAGATGAGTCTGGAAGACGAAGAGCAGGGGAGAGTGGCCACACAGCTGCCTGAAAAACAAGGTAAATGAAATTCCCCTTGACTACAGGAGAGGCTTCAGGGTAAGCAACTGATCTGCTTTCTCGGTGAGACCAAGGGCCAACTGAATAGCTGCCTGCGGGTCCTGTCCTGCTCCTTCCTCACTTCACTGATGCTTTACTACTGAGGTTCCAGACAGTGCCCCTCATTTAGGTACCTGATACTAACCTCCCAATGATCAAAATGAAATAAGGACTCAGGAGACTTAGACATGGGGACTAAGAAACTAAAACCCTCTACATAAATTAGCCATTCTCACAGGGACACAATGGCAGGACTCAAACTTCCTCCAAGGCCACACAGTGAGGCAGGGCCTGCGTGCAGCGACAAACTGATTCTTAACTTGAAAAACAGTTGACTGAAGGGGGAAGAAAAACAGTCAAGGGTCTTACGAAGGCTCCTTAGGAGTCATAAACTCAGTTAAGCTTTAGGGCAAGGCTACTAGTGGGCAATCAAGATAATAAAAAATGAAATACAACTAAGGCGGGAGAAAATCCCAGGGAGCAGCCGTCTAAAGGAAAAGTCCTGAGCACAAGTTCTGGCTGTGACGTTTTAAAGGCAAGTGGAGGCCCTGGAGGTGGCAACCTGCATCCTGACCATCTGCCATGCCATTTGCTAGTCTGAGTCACCTCAGGGGCTGTTCCTATTGGGTCCTGGGTAGGGGAGGATGAGAAAACTATGTTTTCTCTCCTTTCTCTTCACCAGGTGTGGCTTGTTCAGCACCAGCTCTGAAAAGTAGGAGGGGAAATGAAAAACAAATGCAGTAGAACATGTCCTCTGCCTGGCTCACCAATTTATCAGTCTGAGGAGATGGGACTCTTGTAGCTTAGGACATTTTCTCATTCCTCTATTTTGGAAGACAAAATAAGAGAGGAAGCTGGCAGTTACTTTGTATGTATGTACAAGACGGAGGTAGGAGAGCTACAGAAAAGGACATCATTGGCTTGGGCAGATGGCAGAAGGTGGCTCTGGGACAACTGGAAGGGTTTCATACTGAAGTGCTATTAAAGCTGACCTATCTATCCACAGGCCTCTGGCTGTGGATTGCTTCCTATGGCTTTGGTAGAAATTGCATAGTTCAGAGCCAAAGGAAGATGAGAAGTCTTAACAGGGAAGAAAGAGGGACAAGAGGGTTGAATTTCTCCCTCTGCAACCCAACTTTTCAAAGTAAGAATGGCTGAGAGCAATAGTCACCAGTTTCCCAGACAGGCCCACCCGTTCAACAAGCAGGGCTCTTCTGCTGACATTCGTACTCCACCTCCCCTTCCCCTGCTCCCCCCATCCTACCTCATAATACTCAAGAAAACCCACTCAGGACCTTGGCTATGAGGCCTTAGAGTCCTGGGGCTTGGACTATGGAGAAGCATTGCATTTAGGGGACGGA